ACTCATCTCTCCAGTCCTTTTTTTTTTTTCCCTTTTTTGTTTTGTTTTTTGAGACATGGTCTCCCTGTAGCCCCATCTGACCTGGAACTTGCTGTGTAGACCAGGATGGGTTCAATCTCACAGAGCTCTGCCTGCCCCTGACTCCTGAGTGCTGGGATTAAAGGTGTGTGCCACCCCTCCTGCCCTTTTGGAGACAGATTCTCATCTCACTCCATAGCCCAGAATGGCCTGGTACTCACTATGCAGATCAGGCTGGCCTCCAACTTGTGGCATCCTCCTGTCTCTGACTCCCAAGTGCTAGGGTTACAGGTGTAGGCCCTCCCTGGTAGTTTCTTTCTTGGTCCAGCTCATCAAGCTTTATCTAGACAGCAGGAGCCTGTCTTCAAACCAAGTATTTCTTAACCTAACTCCTTTTCTTTTTTAGGGTTTGCTTTGTATTCAGACTGGCCTGAAAGTCTTGGCAATCTCCTGCTTCAGCCCTGCACACTAGGCCTGTAGGCCTGTGCTGCCACCCTGCCTCTTGTTTTGTTTGGTCAGACAGAGGTGCACTCCGGCCCAGGCACGTCCTCCGGCTCAGCTGCTCCAGTGCTAGGGCTACAGGCCTGCCCGACTGTGTCCAACTTGTTCCTGGTTTTTGGATCGAAATTCACCAGCTCTCTCTCTCTCTCTCTCTCTCTCTCTCTCTCTCTCTCTCTCTCTCTCTCTCTCTCTCTCCCCTCCCCCTTCTCCTTCTTCCTCTCCCTCATTTTCCTCCCTCACTCCCTCCCCCCTCCCTCCCCCTTTATTTCTTGAGAGATACATAGTTTAGACTCACCCTGATTTCATGATCCTCCTACCTTGACTTCCAAGGGCTGGGATTACAGGCCTAGGCCACCACACACAGCTCACTCAATGGAGTAGTTTTTTTTTTTTTTTTTTTTTTTTTGTGGGGTGGCAGTGTTGAGATAGGGTATCATGTAGCCCAAACTAGCTTCAAACTGCCTATGTAGCCAAGGTTGGCTCTGAGCTCCGGATCGTCCTGCCTCCATTTCCTGAGTTTTGGGATGGCAGGCATGTGCCACGGGCCAGCTGTCAGCAGAGTTCTTGAGGATTTTACCTTCTACCATTTTAGGGAAGGACCTGTAAGCTTGTGGCCAGTTGGTTCAGATGGGGTAGTGGTCATGGGGCTCAGAAAATCTCCCTCCCCCACCCTCCTTTCTGGTCTCTTTCCTCCCCCTTTCCTTTAGACAGGGTTTGGCTGTGTATTCCACACTGTGCTAGAACTTGCCACCCCCCTGCCTCTGCCTCCCTCATGCTGGGATTACAGGTGTCAGCCCTGTGGCCAGGCTTGCCAGGAATTCAGCCTTACTGCTGACTTGGAGCACAGGAGTAAGTTTTCTCTAAGGCTGGCTTTCCATTTTCCGTTTGTTTCTTTTTCTGAGGAAGAACATTTAAAAAGAAAATTTTATTATTTTTATTTTATGTGTATGTGTGTACTGCGTATGTGTAGGTAAGTGCACCCATGTCATGCAGTGCCCGAGGAGGACAGAAGAGGCCGTCAGATCCCCTGGAACTGGAGTTAAGGACAGTTGTTAGCTGCCATGTGGGTGCTGGGATTTGAACCCGGGTCTTCTGCAACAACAACCAGTGTTCTTAACCGCTGAACCATCTCGCCAGCCCCTATTTGTTTGTTTTTTGAGACATGGTCTCTCTGTAGCCCCAGCTGGTCTGGAGTTTACTATGTAGATCAGACTGGCTTCCATCTCACAGAGATCCACCTACCTCTGCCTCCAGATTGCTGGGATTAAAGGGATGTGCCACCTCACCCAGCTAGGAACAACTTTTCAAATGGTGTACATTTCTGCCTTTTGGGGTGTGTGTGTGTGTGTGTGTGTGTGTGTGTGTGTGTGTGTGTGTGTGTGTGTAGCTTTCATGACAAAGCCTGCACTTTGTGGAACTGCCCCAGCAGTCCTGCCCTGGGAGGGCTGAATCCCTTGGCCTTCAGCTCCTGTGGGATGGAAACACCACAGTGCCCTCTAGCGGAACCTGTGGAGCAGTCAGATCTTTGAAAAGGAAGTCTCCTAACTTTCAAAAGAGACTCAGCAAAGCCAATCTGCAGCTCTACCTCCAGTGTTCTCACCCGCAGTGGTGATGGGACTCTGACACAGGGTCTCGTGCATGCTGAGTACGCATGCTGCCATAAGCTACAACCCTCAGCCCTGGGTTTTCCTCTGTACGTGGACTTGTGGGGAATTGGTTAGATATGGGTCCTGGAGCTCAGTGTGTTCTCCTCTCCTCTCTGGATGTTGCCATGGTGTGTGCTCGTCCCCCGCCCCCGACCAGGTATGTGTGGAATTTTATTTTTACATATACGTGTGTGTGTGTGTGTATACATGCCATAACATGCATGTGGAGGGCAGAGGACAACTTGCAGCAGTCCGTTCTCTCCTTCTATTATGTGGGTCCTAGAGCTCAAACTCAGGTCATCAGGCTTGGCAGCAAGTGCCTTTACCTGCTGAGTCATGTTGACAGGTCATGTATGGAATTTTCAACTCCAAATATATCTTTTATCTCTTCCGAGGACTCAGATTTAAAACAACTCTGTAGTTCAGGTTAAATAGGAGGATAAGTTCTAGAGAAAGAGGGGGGAGGGAGGGAGGGAAAGGGGGAGAGGGAGAGAGAGAGAAAGAGAGAGAGAGAGAGAGAGAGAGAGAGAGCGCACGTGCTGGGGAGGTAGCTCAGTAGTAGAGTCCTTCCTAGATTCCTCAAGGCCCCAGGTTCCAGACCAGCAGTGGAAGGAGAGAGAGAGAGAGAGAGAGAGAGAGAGAGAGAGAGAGAGAGAAGAAAGGGAGGGAGGGAGGGAGGGAGAGGAGAGTTTTTTGTTTGGACTCAGACTGGAAGGTCTTTTCTGGAACAAAGTAAGTAGAGCAGCAAAATGAGGCATTAGGTCATGCTCGATTATCTGGTTCTCGACACCAGCCTGAACCTGCTAGTCCGCAGTGCGGAGAGCAGGATCCAGTTCACCGACACTCAGGCGCTGTTAAGATGAGGGTACCCGGAAAACTCATCTTTAAAAAATTACTTTTGTTATTTATTGGTGTATGTGTGTAGGGGTCAGAGGACAGCACCCCTTCTACCTTGTGGGCCTCAGGGATTGAATTCAGGTCGTCAGGCTTGGCAGCAGGAGCCTTTACACACAGAGCCGTCTTGCCAGCTGAGGAAACCTAGCTTGTTCCCGGCAAGCACCAAGTCACGACATCTTCCATTTTTCTTCAAGGCAGAAAACCAAACTGTGCAAACACTACTGAAGCTACTGTGAGAGACACCGAGCCAACTCTCCTGATAAAGCCAGAAGACATCGTCCCAAAAGAACCCGGGAGCTCCGAAGAGACTCTCCGCACACTCCTGAGACCAAGTGACAGAGTCTCTAAGCACTATACGACAACTTCTTCTGAGATCAACGCAGTCGTCGGAGCTGTTCCTGCTGTCTGTACGCATGTCAAGGCCTTCGTTAAGTTTTAAAAAGCGATCGGCAAGTGTGGGGACGAGTGCGTCGTGTGCCCCCCCAGGGTCCCTAGCTTCTCCCTGCATTGTGCTGGGAATTCCCCTATGCTTTGGACCTTACATTTAACTGTGTAGTATAAGCACTTAGGGGTCACATGCAGATTTTACTTACTCGTTCACGACGGCCCAAGTAAAATAATTGTTTATGTATTAATGACATTGAAAGTCTCATAGAACGTTGAATGTTACAGTAATGTGGACTTACCCAACACAGCAGAAGACTTTCAGAACACATGACGCTTTTTTTTTGGGTCTTTTTGTGATAGGGTTTCCCTGTATCCGCAGCTGGCCTAGAATTCACTATGTAGACCAGGCTGGCCTCCATCTCACAGAGATCTGCCTGCCTCTGCCTCCCAAGTGCTGGGATTAAAGGTGTGCAGTACCACATCTAGCATAGACCACGTGATTCTTATTTCCAAATACACTCTGTTTTCAAGTATTAAAGATTGTTCTCTATGTATTAAACCTTGTGCTGGTTAATTTTGACCATCAATTTAACAGGATCTAGAATCACCAAGGATGCAAGCCTCTGGGGACGCCTGTAGGGGATTATCTAGACTACATTAATTGAGGTACAAAGACACACCCTGAGTATGGGTAGCACGGTTCCCTGGGTTGAGGTCCTGGACTGAGTATCAACATTCATCAGTATCTGCCTCCTGACGTTGGACTCTGTGATCAGTATCCTCCTGTGTCTGTCCCACGGCTGCCCTGGCATGATGGATGGTACCTTCAACTCTGAGCCAAAATAAACCTCCCTTAAGTTGCTTTTACAGGAATTTTATCACAACAGGAAAAGTGTCCAATATAAGCCCCCATGTGTTAGGTTGCCAGGGCTCCTATAAGAAAGTAGCACAAGCTGGGTGGTCTGGCAAACAGACTTTAAGCCAGGCATGGTAGTATCCACCTACAGCCCCAGCTACTTGAGAGGGGGAAAGCAGGACCTCACAGTCAAGGCTGGCCTGGGTGACTTAGTGAGATGTTGTCTCAAAATAAAAAGTGAAAATGAAGGGACAGGCGATGAAGTTCAGCCTGTTTCTAGCACACCCAGGGCTCTGGACCAGTCCTTGGCACTGCACTTCCCAGCCCTCACTACCAAATAAACAATTCTTACTGTCTCACAGTTCTGGAGACCGGAAGTCAAGGCTGAGTGTCTCTGGCTTGGCTCCCTCTGTGGGTTTTGTGGAGGAGGATCTATTCCCGGCCTCACCTCAGCCTCTCATGCTGTACTGGCAATCCAAGGCCCTGTTTGGTTTTGCTGCACCACCCCGACCTCTGCTCTGACCCGTGGACTCCCATGTGAGTGCCTGTGTCCAAACATCTCCTTTTCATAAGGACCCCAGTCACGCTGGATTACGGGTTTTCATACACCTGTGCCGCCTCAGCTTAATTACACCCCAGTCCACTATTTCCAAACAAGGTAATAATTCTGTAGGGTGTGGCAGTGCATTCCTGTGATCACAGCACTTGGAAGGTGGGGATGGGAGATCAACCATTTAAAGCCAGCCTCAGCTGCACAGTGAGTAGGAGGCCGACCTGGGCTATGTGAGACCCTGTCCCAATCCCACTATTGTCTTGTTCTCCAAAAGAACACAGATGAAATTAATTTTAATAATATCTATTCAAGCAGGTTGGGGTGGCACATGCCTATAATCCCAGCACCCAGTAGGCTAAGGTAGGATTGTTGCCAGTTCAAGGCTAGCCTGGGCTATGTCACAATACCCTGTCTAAAAACAAAATCTAAAATATCATCTCAATGATTAATCAATATAAAATTTTCAGATCTGCCGGGTGTGGTGGTGCACGCCTTTAATCCCAGCACTCGGGAGGCAGAGGCAGGTGGATCTTTGTGAGTTCAAGGCCAGCCTGGTCTACATAGTGAGTTCCAGGACAGCTGGGGCTACAGGGAGACCCTGTCTCAAAAACTCCAAAAAAACCTTTTTTTTTTTTTTTTTCAGCATCTCATACTTTTCAAAAAATGGAAACTGTGTTTCTGCAGTTGTCCTTAATCGCCTGGCCTCAAGCACTTCCCTGCCTCAGCCCTCCAAGTAGTCTGACCAGAATGTGCCCTGCTGGGCCACACTCTTTTTGTTCAGCCTTTGAATTTTACCCTTATAGCACACTGCAGTTCAGACCAGCCCCATTTCACGTGCTCAGCCACCACCTGTGGCTACTGGTATATTTCAGTGTCTTTTTCTCCGTCATCCATGCCCTAGGTTACCCCATCTATGGCGTTCCAACTGTTCGGTCGGATATTCCCGCTCCCCGGATTCGTCGCGTCAGTGACATGAATAATTACGGAGAGGAGGGCAATGCGTACTCATTGCTGTACCCATCCATCTTCTCCCAGAAGGGAGTGTTTGAGAGAGACTTCTTCAGGACCAGATCGAAGGAAGAGGTACTGACATCACTTCAACTTCCAACCCCACACGCCACACACAGACAGAAGTTGTGACTTAGCAACGACCACGATGATGATTATTACTAGTTTTGTTGTTTTTTACTCTCTTTTCGAGACAGCATCTTTCTTCTGACCTGGAACTTACTGTGTGGCACAGACCCACCTTCAGCTCTCGGTGGCTTTGGGTCTCAGCCTCCCAAGGGACTGGGATTACAGGATTGAGGCAATATACTTGGTTAGGTTTTTTTTAGACTGGGTATTGCTGTTGCCCAGGCTGGCCTTGAAATCGTGATCCTCCTGCCTCATCCTACTGGGTGCTGGGAATGGCAGAGAATGGACTTGAACTTCTGATTATCTGGTCTCTACCTTCCAAGTGCTGGGATTACAGGTATATACCACCACACCTGGTACAGGCGGTGCTGGGGATCAAATCCAGGGTTTGTGCATGTTAGGCAGGCACTCCAGCAACCGAGCCAGAGCTCCAGCCCATGACTATTACTTTTTTCTTTTCAAAATTATATCTATTTTTAAAAAATAGGATAAAAGTTTATAGGATCCTCAAATATTGGATTATTTGATGAAAAATACTTAGTTTGGTTGAACATGCTGGTATTTTTTTTTTCTTCTGGGTATACTGTAAAATTCTTTTTTTTTGGTCAGAGTCTTCCTGTGTGGACCAGGCTGATGTTTAACTCAAGAGCCTTCTCTGGCCTCTGCTGCCTCAGTGATGGGATGACAGGCACAAACCTCCACTCCCAGCTGCCTTTCTTCATTTAAATTTAGTTCATTTAAAATTTTTTGTCTTAGCTGGGCATGGTGGCACACGCCTGTAGTCCCAGCACTTGGGAGGCAGAGGCAGGCGGATCTCTGTGAATTCAAGGCCAGCCTGGTCTACATAGTGAGTTCCAGGACAGCTGGGGCTACAAGGAGACCCTACTTCAAAAAGACCCCCCCAATTTTTTTTTGTCTTAGAATTTTTTGAAATTACATTTATTTATTTGTGTGTGTGTATGTGTGGTTGATGTGTATGGCGTTTATTTGTGTATGTGTATAGTGTGTTTATATATGTATGAGTGTATATATGTGTATTTATGTGTGTTTGTGTATGTGGTATGTTTATGGTGTATTTATTTGTATATATGTGTAGTGTGTATGTGTATGGTGTATTTATGCATGTATGTGTGTATATATGTGTATGTATATGGTCTGTTTATTTGTATATGTGTGTTTAGTGTATGTGTGGTATGTATCTGTATGGTGTGTTTATGTGTGTATATGTGTGTTTGATGTGTGTATATGTAGAATGCATGTATGTGTATGGTGTGTTTATTTGTGTATGTGTATGGTGTGTTTGTGTGTGCGTGTGTGTGTGTAGTTTGTGTAAGGTGTGCATATGTAGAGCTCAGAGGACAACTGTTGGGAGTTGTTTCTTTCCTTCCCCCATGTGGGTCCCAGGGATGAACATCAGGCTTGGCAGAATGTGGCTTTACCTCCTGAGCCATCTCACTGACCCTATTTTTTTTCCTTCCTTCTTTTCTTTCTTTCTTTTCTTTCTTGGTCTTTTTGAGACAGGGTCTCCCTGGAGCCCCAGCTGGCCTGGAACTGACTATGTAGACCAGGCTGGCCTGGAACTCATAGAGATCCACCTGCCTCTGCCTCCCAAATGCTGGGATTAAAGGCGTGCGCCACCACACCCAGCTCTTTCTTTTCTTTTTTTAAAAAAACATTCATTCTTATTTTGTGTGTATAGGTGTTTTGCCTGTATGTATGTAAGTGCACCAGGCATATGCGGTACCTTCTGAGGCCAGAGGGGGCATTGTATACCCTGGAAGTGGAGTTACAGATGGTTGTTAGCTGCCAGTGGTTGTTGGGAACCAAACTGGTCCTCTGGAAGAGCAGCCAGTGGTCTTAACTGCTTAGCCGTCTCTCCCTTCCTTCCTTCCTTCCTTCCTTCCTTCCTTCCTTCCTTCCTT